TAATTGTTAAAATATATGATCTGGCCAGGGCAACTTCCTCTTCCTTCTCTTTCCTCCTCCTATATTCTTTATTTACTTATTTTATACTGTTAATTTTAATTTTATATTATTGTATCTCAGTGTATTTTTTGTATTTTTGTATTTAGTGGTAATTTATTATGTTCTATTGTATTTCAATGTATTTTATTGTGTTGTAAGCCGCCCCGAGGCTTCGGCAAAGGGCAGCATAGAAATGTAATAATAATAATAATAATAATAATAATAATAATAATAATAATAATAATAATAATACTGTGTAACTGCACACCCCACCACAATGACTAAACTCACCTGTAGACCGATGACACATTGCCCAGCCTTCAGTGTGGCATCATCGAAAGACCTCTTCTGCTTCCCCGAATACTTCACCCCGATGTCCACCCCACTATCAATTCCCTTTGTCTTGGCCTGCAGAAACAAGGAAGATGCGGTGGCGATTCAGCTGTATGTCCCTATGAGGCATCTGATTTAGACAAACTACTTGTTTCTAGCAAGTTTGTAGTCCTCATGGTCAAGGAGAAGTTTCCACAGAGAGGGAAGGATGTAGAAATCATAGTGAAGATGTTCTGGCTGCCTCCTTGTAGGTCAGCATCTCCAATACAAAAGATTTGTCAGGGCCCGAACTGCCAAATTTACTTTACTTCCTGGGACTGATCCTGTTCAATCTTTTCATCAGTGAACTGGAAGAGGGAGTGATCAGTCTGCTGATCGAATTCACACGTGATACTAAAACTGGGGCAGTGGCCACAACTGAGGAGCAGGTACTCCAGACCCAAAAGGCTCTGGACAGACTATGGAAGTGGGCAGGAGACAACAGGGTGGCGTTCAATGTGGAGAAGTGCAAGGTCTTGCACTTGGGGCATGGGAATGGGTGTCACAAGTACAGGTTAGGGGACAAGTGGCTGGAGAGCAGCACTTGTGAAAGGGACCTCGGGGTGCTGGTTGACTGCAGGCTGAACATGAGCCAGCAGTGTGATGCGGTGGCCAAGAGGGCGAACGCCACCCTTGGTTGCATCGCCAGAAGTGTGGCTTCTAGATCGAGAGAGGTGTTACTGCCACTCTACACGACTCTGGAGCACCCACAACTGGAGTATTGTGCTCAGTTTTGGGCCCCTCATTACAGGAAGGACATAGCCAGGTTGGAGTCAGAGCAGCACAGGGCCACAAGGTTGGTGGCCGGTTTGCAGGGGAAGCCGTATGAGGCGGGACTGAGGGAACTGGGTCTCTTCAGCCTGGAGAAGAGGAGACTCAGAGGGGATCTGTTGGCCACATACAGGTACATGAGGGGGAGTCACACAGAGGTGGGCAGAGACCTCCCCTGCAGAGGAGGGCAGGATGCGCTCCAACGGAGCAAAGCTCAGGGAACCCAGGTTCAATTTAGATGCCAGGAAGTCCTTCCTGACGGTTAAGATCTCTAGGGTACGGAATGGTCTCCACATAAGGACAGGATAGCCAAGCGCATGGTATGCATGATATGAGTGGAGCTGGCTGGAGCCCGGGGTCAGACTAGATGGCCAAGGAGCCCCTTCTGACTTGCTGTTTCTGTGTTTCTAATAACGTAGAATATCTTCTGTGCAAAAAAAAAGCATGTATGCTCACCATGCCTGCCAAAGCCAGGAGGCACACCTGGACTTGAGTCATGTTTCCGTTCTCATACAGATCATTGGCTTCAAACAGGTCCACGGGCTTCAGGCCGTAGTTAAGCGTGGCCTTGATGAAGTTGGAGAGGTTTTCCAGCTGTTGGAAGAAGCAAGCAGGATGTCAAGGACGAGTGTGCAAGGCTGCCCTGCGAAGGCTAGTCCACCGTTTGAAAAAGCACAAAGTTTGGAGCTTGAGCAACTTCTTGCCCCAGCTAGAATGCTTTGATTCTCTGTGCCTTGCAGCTTTGCAACAAGCAAGGGATGAACTAGATGACCTCTGTGGATCCTCTAATGCCATGATTCAAGTGTTCTGCCTGTGCAGGTGAGAGCTAAATGTCTGCTCCAAGATGTGAAGGATTCTATTCCTCCTCACCTGAATGTAGGAAAAACCTTCCCACCAAACCCACTCTAGATAGAGCAAAGTCTCTGCTGAGGCCAAGCTGCCTTTTCCTCTCAACCCATTAAATTACAACTCCCAGGTTCCCCAAGCCAGTTGTGCTCATTTGGTGGGCACAAGGTTGGGGAAAGGTGCTATGGAAAGGGGGGTCTTCAAACCTGCCTTCTGGGCAAGGAAGGGTGAATGGAGCTAACACAGTGTGGCCAAACACCAGAATATGGATATTCAAATATGTATTTATTTATTTTTCAATTTATATCCTGCCTTTTTCCTACAAAGGGCTCAAGGCAGCTTGCATCATTCTCCTCCTCCATCTCATCCCCACAACAACAACCCTGTGAGGTAGGTTGGGCTGAGAGTCTGTGACTGGCCCAGAGTCCCCCAGTTGGCTCCATGGCTGAGCGGGGACTCGAACCCGGATCGCCTGAGTCCCAGTCAGTCCCAGTCCATGCTCTTAACCACGACACCACACTGGCTCTCACACTGTCAAATATCCCTTGACAGCTGCAACGAAGTGGATGCCGCCAGAGCCAGGAAGATGGGAGTGGTATTCCAAGAGCCATCTGGGTTGCAGGAGTGCAAACTGGAGCATCTCTCTGCATCTCGTATCTCACTGGGCCACTGAGTCGCAGGTGCTTGGAAAATGCAATCAGAGCTGCCCAGTGAGAGCCAGCGGACCCTCAGCCACAGTGTGGGCTGTACAAAGTTCCTCATGGTTGTGGCCGCAAGAATCACAGGTGGGACAACGTCTTGATGCAGGAGCTGGCTTCCTTTTCCGGGGGCACGAAAGCAGAGCGGTGGTAATAAGGCTGCAGAGGCATCAAAGAATTCTGTGCGAGTTCAGGAATCCCGAACTCTTCCATTATTTGAAAGAAAAAGCCACACTCTAGCCCCCAGGGTAAGACTGCAAGAAACCTCGGAAGCCAGTGAGGGAGTTAAACCCTCTTTGTGACAGCTGGGACTGCAGTTTCACCACCCCAGAGCCAATCCCTCTTCCGTACAACTAGCAAAACAAGTTACGCAAACCGTCTTGGCCTATGCCAAAGCACCCCAAGGGAGGAAGCCGGAAGTGGTAAACCAGATCCTCTTTCTTGTTGCTGTCACCGTCTGGCCAAAGAGACAGAGGAGCAAGAAGGCTGTGAGGCTGAGAAAGAGTGGCGGCAAGTCCGGGCAGTGGGGCCCTTGCTGGAGCAGGGCCCTCGGCAGGGAGGGGCCCTACACAGGACACCCACCCTGTCCAAGCCTTTGCAACGTTTCTCCCTGCTCCTGCACCACAAGCACGCACCTGATGCCAGTTGAGAGCAGACACATGGATCTTCTTGACTGACCCGGGCTGCAGTTTGTTTATCAGCCTGTTGGAGAAACCGTAGGAGTGTTACCTGGGTGTCATCCTATTGCTAATTCCTCATGGAGGAAGCAGAAGAGAACACACGGACTTTGAAACCCAGCGCCCAAAGTTTGTGCTTACATTCAGATCACTCAGGATCCTGCACCCCAACATCCTAAGGTCCCACAGTGGCCAGAGATAACAACCTAGGTCTCAGGCTATTAAAAAGGGGCTACCCAGTTTATTCTCTCCGGTTCTGCTGGGAGAAAGGTTCCCCTCTTGTCTCTTCCAAACAACAGACTGTCTTTGGCAAAAGCTCTTTATTTTCAATTTATCTCTGGCAAGCTGTAGCCAGCAGAGAGGGTCTCTGAGCATGCACAGAGCAGCTCATTGTGCCCAACCTAGAAACTATTTCTGAGATCTCTCCTTCTGAGTAGCCCTAGAGCCCTTCTAGGCATAAAATATAAATTATGTTGTATTTTACATTGTAAGCTGTCCTGAAGCTTTTTTGCGAATAGGACTGTATATAAATATTTTAAATAAACAAACAAATGACCCCTTACAGAGCGGAAAGCTTGCTAGCTGTATGCAGGGCCTCTGGTTGCCTAGCTCTTCTCTCCTGATGCTGTATCAAGGGGTCAAGGACTGGACCAGCCTCTTCCAGACCCGATCAGTTTCCAAGCTCTGCCTGAACATTTGGAGATGGCAGCCTTGAGATAAGCTCTTGCTCCTCTGCCCTGTGTGTGACCACAACGTCGTTCCCCGTCCCTCACCCTCCTCGTCTGAAGAGTCAACATCACCCGGGTCCTGGAACAAGGGCCCAAGCACAACTGCTCTCATTCCCAGCAAGTCCTGGTGTGTAGACTATGAACAGGCTTGGCCAGTTCCCCACCAACAAAGGCATCTCCTCCAGGACTTTGTCTCGAGAGTAACCATCTCTACCTACCACTCCCTGGCCAAACTAAATGCCTAAATCTCCCAGTCCCAGAAGATTCCCCAAGTATTTATGGGAGACCAACAAGAGCACAAGCTTAAAACACAATTAAACTCCCCTCCAGTAGCCCTCTGCTTACTCGCAAAGTATGACCCCATCTTTCAGCCCCTTCTGGAAATCAGGGCCAATCTCCTTTCCAGTGATGCTTTCGATCCACACCTGGAGCTCGGCTTCCTTCTGACGATCATACTTTTGGGCCAGCTGCAGGGGGAAAGAGGAAAGAAGTTCAGAATGGAGCAAACCTTGTAACCATGCAGAGACGGAAGCAGCCGAACGGTGTTGATTCAGCAGCACACAGAAAGCTCTTCTACGCCACCTAAAGAAGAATAATGCGGGAGATCTACAGGTCTAAGCCAGGTTTCTTTCTGAAAGCTTCTTTTCGAAGTCCCTGCAGCTTTGAAAAAGAAGAGGGTATCCAAGGAGAACAATGTCACAGGTTGAATTTAAGCCAGTAGACAAAGGACCACCAGGTCCAGCCCCTTGTTATCCCAATTCCTTTCTTCCAAGATATCCTGTTTGAAACTCTGCACGTTGGAGCCCTCCCAGAAGAGGAATTCCCTTTCCCTTGCACAGGGGCCAGAATGCCTCTCCTAATGCCGCCATGTTCAACTCATATCTACACCCATTTCTCATCTTCCCACCTCTGCGCTTCCATTTCTTGCTGAGGTCTCAAACATCCACCCAAAACCCTTCTGCTAAAGCCATTTCCCACTATGGTCACACTGTTTCCACTGAACTTATCCATACCTTCCCAGCCCTCCATGGCCTTTCCCTCCTCTTCTCTCCCAACACAATTCCTTTAGCCAAATTCCCTTCACCCAGCTCCACCATGTTCCACCATCCAAGGTCTCAAAGGATGCTGCCCCATCTTCCCCCAATTGTATGGACCGGCTTCCCAGAATACCTGCGTGACTCCACTCCACTTCCTCCTCTCAGTTCCCCATGCAAAACCCAACACAAGATCCTCCCTAGGACAAAACCCTTTCCCGCAAACTCCTCCAGCTCCCCATAACTCAGTTCATGCCCCATTTAAGCTTTTGTTTCCCCTGGACTGATGGAGTGAGTCCTGGACCCAATCAAGCTGAGCTAGCCCTGGAAGCCAAATGACAAAACTGAAGCTGTCCTGCTTCAGGGACACCCTGAGAAGCCAGACTCCCTGGAGAGGACAATTATGCAAGGAAAAGTTAAAGGTGGAAGAAGAAAAACATGACCAAAGAGGAGATGGAGAGACTCCACCAAGAAAGCCCAGAGTGTATGAGAGAGCAGCGGGGCTGTGAAGGCCAAGTCCTTCTGGAGGGAAAATGCCTTTATTTACAAGGAACCCAAAGAAATTACACCCTGCAACATTAAGGCAACTGCCTTTTCTTTCTCCTTGCCAGTATTTTCGTAACTTCTTCTCAGACAAAAATCAACAAACCGCTCCACTATTTCATGCCTATTTTTTGGTTGTATCAGATGTATTTTCTGGCTGGGGGTTTTGGAGTTTTTTTGTTGGCATCAACACAACTATCTTCATTTTCTGCCCTCTAAGATGGTCCCAGTGCAACAGTTCCATCAATACACAAAGTGCATCTTTTTCTTAAATGATTGTTTTAGTCTATTGCAGGTATCTCCCAAGCTGTAAAGTTTAATCAGCTAAGGTTTCAGAACTGGGTAACAGAGTTTAATTTTTATCTCTAAATTACTCTGGGTTGTCCTTACTTTTATCCTGAATAAGCATGGAGAAGCAGTTTCAGACAAATCACGCATGTTTAAAAATAACTTTTTAAACAAATATTGTTATAAACAATGTTTTAAGCAGCAATTCAAACACAACCCTTTAAGCCAAAGAATGTTGTTAACAAATATTGATGTAAACAATGTTTTAAGCAACAGTTAAAGCATAATGCCTTAAACAAAATAATGTTTGAACAAATCACTTTAAAGACTCTCCAGTCAAAATGGAGCATGTGAAATAAACAAAATCAGGGCTTGTCCATTTTTATTGTTGTCCTTGTACAAAGAAACAAATCAGCATTTCTCCAGCACTCTGTTGGATGCGTAGATTCCCTGCAGGAAAAGGGCAGGTTAGATCCCGCGGTTAGTTACTGCTGACAATGCAACATACCAGGGGTGTGTTGAAGGGTTGCTGGTGTACTCACTCCTCTGCCCACATTCCTGATGCAGCAATGGGAAAATCTGTCTTAGGCCCTGCAGCAGCCATGCAGAGAAACCTTCCTAGGCTGTACTGCCAGCACAAGGCTATGATGGTGCATTATAGTTCGTCTTTTGCAGTAGTCCTGTTTCCCCAGCTTGGCAAACTGCGTGCCAGCATTTAACAAGGCTTTAAGAGGGGTGTCCTCAACTCTAGGCCAGGACTGGAGAAGGATATACTGCTCTGTTTGCCCAGTGTCCCCAAAGTAATTCCTTTAAAATATTTTCACGCTGCTCCCAGGAGTTTTTCCCCCGGGTTGCTAATGCTATTAGTAAAACTGTGAACATACTGTACACCCACCATAAGTATGTTTAAAAGCACACAACTGAACGCTGCTCATTTCATGATTCCATCACCCATTTGACCATTGCTCCCTTTTATCCTCACAACAGCCCTGTGAGGTGGGTTAGGCTGAGAGGCAGTGACTGAGGAGGTTCATGGCCACGTCTCCCAAGAGTCCCGGTCCAGAATTCTTTCCACTATGGCACTCATAAGACAGAATCTTTTGCCAGACCTGCTATGAAGCTGGCACCAAAGGTGCTTGGCCATTCAAACCTTCCGCAGCTCAGCATAAATTGCAAGTGCAGATCCAGAGGATGGATCCGAAACTGCCGTCTGATTTGGCGCATTTCTACCCTGCTCGGCAGCTGAGAAGAATCCTGGAGAAACATACCTGTAATCAATGAAGACAAAAAAAGAAGGGGGAAAGCACAAACTCTTGAACTTAAATTGCTGATTTTATAACGACAAGCTAGAAACGAGGCTGCGGAAGAGGTTTTTCAGATCGGGTTCCCATCTTCTAAATTTGCCAAAACTTCATTTAAAGCAAGGGACAGCCATGTTGGCAAACATAAGCCATCTTCTTTTTTTTTCCTTTAGGAAAAAGATAAACTGGCCCCGTTTTGCCACTGTGCCCTGGAATTTTGGCAGTAAACTTGTTTTCTTTGTGCAAGAAAATGCCTGCCTTTTTTGATGCAATGCAGCCAGATTTTGGCAGCAAGGTCAGTGCAAGCAAAAACGACTATAAAAAAGGCCAAGGTGCAAAAAAGCCCCCTGACCAATTTAAAGCTATAAACAGAAACTGTCTTTGATCAACTGGGACAAGGTTGCAATCATTAGCAAGATAAAGTGATCTGTGCTGGATCAGACCCAAAAGGTACAGGCTGCAGCTAACCAGGAGTTCCAACCTGAAGGCCAGAAGCAAGCCATGAAGCCAAGAGCCTTCTCTATGCTGCAGCCCTTCATATTTCGTATTCAGGGACAGAGTGAGTCTGAACAGTTAGGTTCCATCACATTAATCTAGAATTCTTTATTATTCATGAGAGCCAGTGTGGTGTGGTGGCAAGAGTGCTGGGAAGAGGAGAATTATGTAAGCCAGCTTGAATTCTTTGGAAGGAAACAAGGAGGGATGTATCAAGGTGCTCTACCTTCTGTCATGTGGGGGGGGGCACCTGGAAGAGGGCCTCTGGAGGTCTAAGCAGGTAGGTAAGTACACTAGCTTTGGTCTGGTTGTGGCATTCATGAAAGCGCATCCAATGTGGTGCATTTTTTAAACAAATCTGGTCCTGTGTGAAGGTGAATTCATATCAACAGTACAGCTTGCAAGTAAAAGGGCAAGGACTGCAACTTCTGAACTCTTGTCAAGAAGTTAGTCCTCTGATGAGGCCCCAGGAGAGAGAAACCAAAGAACAAAATGCATAACGCAGCTTAATGAACTGAAGTGACTCTCACAGCTGAAACCTAATTCGACTTGTCTACTGTGCAGAAAAGAGGTGTTTTTTTTCACTGGCTTCAGTGCATGCAGTCACTGAGGTCTGACCCCTCAGCAGGGGGTCCCCATTCCAAGCTGCTTGTTTACCTTTTCTGGCCCAGGCAGCTGCAGAGAGGAGAAGAAAAGGGTCGGAGCTGCATCCTGTGCTCCCTGGCCAGGAGACAGTCCGTTCTGTGGAGCAAGGAAGTGGTCCCCGAGCAGGGAAAGGATGCGGAGCGAGAACAGCTAGTGAGGGCACACGATTGATTAGACTATTAACCATGCTGCTGCTGCTTTTACAGACCACATTTTCACCTCTTGTGCAGAACCCAAGACAGCTTATGTTGTTGTTATCCTCACAACAACCCTGTGAGGTAGGTTACACTGAGCGGGTGCAACTGCCCTCAAAGTCACCCAGGGAGCCCCATGGCTGAGCAGAGGCTAGAGCCCCAATCACGTGAGTCCCAGTCTCGCACTTTTAACCACACTTCGAATCAGTTTAGATCTGTTACAAGTTGTGTTGGCTGGGAATGATGGGCACTGCAATACCTGTTGGACTTCTGACCTGCACCTTTGCAGCAAGCCTGACTGAGTTACTAACAAGCAAGTCCCTGATTCGAATTCTGCCTTGGCAGGGAGATGCGTGGCTAGAAAATGGATGTAACTCATTTGCTTTTCCATTCCCATTGAATCATTGCCTGAAAAAGTGGAACTAGATAGTCAACAAACTGGGCAAGGCAGAGAAGTTTAATTTAACCAGTTGGCCCTTCTGCCTGGCACAGGAACCGTTTGGGAGAACATCAGAACTTTGGGAGAGTGGCAAGCTTGGCATCATCCATTCTGCATCCCCTTTTGCTAGAGTGCAAAACTGTGGGGGTTAAAAACTGCTTTTATAGAAGATGCCCCCTCAAACCTACTCTGCATCCAAGAGAGGATGACAAACGACAGCATCCACCATTAAAGGCATTTTAAAGAGGAAGGAGGCAATGACTCCTTGGTAAAGCTGAACGGGGGAAAGATCCTAGAACCAGAAATTTGCAAAGGGAAACACGATTCTGCATAGAACCCTTCCCCAGCCCTGGAGAAAAACTGAATTTCTGCTACTTTCTCCAGGCGCATCACAGTATGATGTGAGAGCTTTGACCAAGTCAAACAGCATCGCAACAGGAAGGATAATGGACCGGCAGGAATACGGCCAAAAGAACATTGGTGTTAAGTCACAAAGTATCGGGGCCATCCTTGCCAGAGAATGCACCTCTAACCCCAGAGTAGAAAGCAGCATGATTCTCATTTCTGTACCCTTCCTTTGGTAACTCACAGCCCCTTTCAGCCCTTTGAGAACGCTCGTCACAGCAATTTGGGGAATGCACCTCCAGGGTCCAGAAGTCAGAATTCTCTGGGCACATCTGGACTCTGGCATGCCCCTAACAAAATGTACAAGCACACGGTAACACAGCTCCCTTGTGGTAAAGGTGTGTCCTTCATCTTGATCCAATCGACTGATCCACTGATGTTTTTAATTAGTGTCAAAGGCAGAAAGATGGCATGCAAACGAAAGCTGCTGGCTGAGCATTGAGGAGGCTGTTGTCCAACCCATCCAGAGGCAGCATTGGGTGAGGCTGGTGCAAGGTATGTGGGAGCACAGAGAAATATTTGGGTACCAACCCTTTGTGCTGGAAGCTTGTCCACCCAGCAAGCCTCCAAAAGGAAAAACTTCACTCTCCTTTCAGCATTTTAAGTTAAATGATGCCCAAGTCACCTGTAACCTGGCCAATAAGCAAGCAGCCCCAAATTAAAGACGACTGCTTTACCAAATTAAATAATTTGTTTACCAGAGTTTACTGTTTTCACATTTGGCATTGTGTGCAGCATCCAGGTTCTACTGTCGGGGAGAGTCCTCAGCTGGGGTGCTCCCAGTTTGGGAGTTCCCACAGGCAACAGCTCACTGCATTCAGCAGCATTTCCTGGTCCTACAGACCATGTAGCATTTTCAAGGGAATGGAAGGGTCACACCTTCTCCAAGGTAAACCTGGATCCAAACCTTTGTTTTTACGCTTTTTTGATAAGTGGCTAGAATAGAATAGAATTCAAATGTGCAAATACCTCACCCTTAACTCAATAAACCTCAAATGGGAGAAAGGCGAGATATAAATATAAGTAAATAAACTCACAGGTATGCTCACAGTCTCCTTCACAACCTGCCAAGCAGTCCAGGCTCAAACTGTCACTTTTAAAATCTCACCTTCATTCCAAGATGCACAGAATCTTGTACTTGGCCTGCTTCCCACCCCTGGAATTTATCCACACACAACAACCCTGTAGAGTAGGCAAGGGTGACCCAAGACCGCCTCTTTATGCTGCTGCAGGTCTACAAACTCCTAGCTTTTCTTTTTACACTGCTCGGATAGGCTTTGACTGCCTTTTTACAAGCCGCCACAAGTACTCGGGCAGCGTAACAATCCGAAGCGCTCCAGGGTTTGTGAGCTCCGCGGCAATCTGGAAGCCAAAAAATCTGGAAGCCAAATTCTTGTTCCGTGTCTAAGTTATAAGGCAAATAAAGGCTCTACATGAAAACGGACTGGTCCCTTTGCAGGTTTTTTTCGCGGACTGGCTTGCCTGGAAACGGGGCAGGCTTAGGGCCAGCAAGGAAGTAACACGGCGCCACACCTCCCTGAGAGCGCACGGAGTAGGACCTCTCCAAAGCCGGTGCGCCCTGGGCGCACCTGGCCAGCGCCGCGCAACGCTGCGCGGCGGCACTTACTCTGTTCCGGACTTCCGCAGACAAGCCGTAGCTGGGGCCCTTGGTGAACTGGCTGCCACTCATCCTTTGCCGGTGTCGAAGCGGGCGGGACGGGGCGGAACGAGGCGAGGCGAGGCGAGGCGAGGCGAGGCACACACTCCGCGTGGACTTCGCGGGCCGCCACTTTCAGCCTCTCCGCCTCTTTTGCTGAAGTTTTGGGGCCAAGAAGGCGCCTCCTCCCTCCTCTGATTGGCCGCGAGTCGAAATAGCCTTATAAGGGCAGAAAGAGCTGAATTCCTGCAGGATGGGAGTTTCCTATGGGTCGTGCCCCTCCGAACCCCCGTGCACCCTGCTTGCACCTCTGGGGGCCCGAGGAGGCCCCGTGGCCCCGGAGGCCCCGCGCCACCCCGCTGCCGTGCCATGAGGCCTCCTGGCTCTTGGAACAGTCTTGGGGACAGGCAGGCATCCAACCTGGGAGGCTTTGCTTGGGCATCACTGCAGCAGCCCTGGCAAGGACTGACCCTGGTGGGTTTGCTGCTCGAGAAGCCGGCGCCCTGCACGCGCTCAGAGGTTCTCTCTACCTCCTTCCCTCACACACGCCTTCCCACACCTGGACCAATTTGGCACTTGAGGAGCCTTTTCATGCCTAAGAAAAAATTAAGTAAAAAGGATGTAAAGGAAAGGAACTGTTTGCATTTTGTCATCTTTCCATGTTTCTGTTTAGCTTAATTAAGGTTCTTTTCCAGCTTTCTGTGCAGCAAATATTGATTTAGTTTTTAATTTCCATGTGAAAAGTTGTATCTCTCCTATTGGGGCTAAGATTAATTTCCCTACCCACTCCTTTCCCCTTCTTAAGGGCTCCTACCACCCATAATAGTGTAAAGGTGAAAAACATTATTTCCAAAGCAGTTTTTCCCAATAAAAACAGTCAAAGAACACACCTCTAGTGACAAAACAAGCTCCTCCTCTTGTTATTTTTTACGCTTTAAAAAACGTGCCATGGTCAGCAGCAAATCTTACTGGGTCACCTTCTTTCAGCCCGTTCTACCTCACAAGGTTGTTGTGAGGATAAATGGAATCTTGTATGCCTCCCAGAGGACCCTGGCGGAAGTTGGAGTAAAAACATAATACATAAAGGAACAGCTAGAGTATTATAATTGCATTACATTTCCCTTCTGCCTCTTACAAAGCAGCCCACAAGATTCTCTTTATTTTATCCTCACAACAACAACCCTGTGAGGTAGGTTAGGTTGAGCAGCAGTGACTTGCCTACAGTCACCCAGTGAGTCTCTTGTCTGAGGGGAACTGGAACTGTGATTTCTGGAATGGCTTCCAAGCACTTTTCACCACTGTTCCACATCAACTTTCAAATAAATCTAAATATAATCCTATTGCTTTGACTCACTCTTCTCCGTCTGGATCCAACTCAGAACACATTACCACAGCCGGCAGCTGAAATTATAAATAAACAAGCAATAAGCTGGGTCGTTGAAAGCAGCGTGTGCATTTGAATTTGCACCCTTTAATCCCCTTGAAATATGTTCCAGACAATTGAATAACAGCTCTTGGATTGGGCCTGTCCTCTTATCTTTTTTCACTGGATCTGAGCTGTAACCACCTAAGCAAATGGTGTCCTTTTTTTTATAGATGCCGGAAAACATGTGGCAGAACACAAAATATTCAGAATTTTTCAAAGACAGACTTGTGCCCAGTTTTGCCTATTTTGTGTTGCTTCAGGCTGATCCTGCCTGCAGTCATTTCTTTTTTTTAATTTTTTATTTTTTTGAGTGGGGGTGCTTCATTGCCGTCCCCACCTATGAGGCTCCCGCGATGCACTTGCGATGCAGCAGCCTGCCAGATGCTTTTCAGACTGGGATCTGCCTGCTTTAAATGCCGCAACAGTGACATCATTAAGGGCTAGAAACTCATGGCTGAGTGGCTGACAGGACATGGGGGTCCATGGTCTCCTTGCGCTGCAGTTTCCCCACAGCATCCTGGAAGCCAGCAAACAAGCCAGCTTGCAAACTTTCAGCACAGAGTAAGGATGCACGTGTCTGCTTTCTTCAGAACAGGGGATCCGAAACCGAAAATGTCTTTTGTAGTATCTTTGCCCATAGCAAAGCTGGATCCATGCGACAGCAAGGCCCTCCATGGCACAAAATAAAGCATGTGTTGTGCTCACCACTGGATAATCGCTTTCTCCTTGAAGCACACCATCAAACTGCACAACTGTAGCTGGTTTTTTAACTTGGTTTGTATATATTCCATTTTATTCTGTACTGGGCCCATGCTTCTGGGCTGAAACATAGAATGGCTGTGATTGTTTTTAATGTATGTTTAATTTTAATTTGTGTTAAGCCACCTAGAGAACCTTGGCTGCTGCGGCAGTATAAAAATGAAACCAACACACTAGGATTATATAGCAAGGCAAACATGGAATAGGGGTGTGTGTGTATCTTTACATGTAGTATTTTTACCACACTGACATCCAGTCAATAAAACAAAACAATCCTTTATGTATGTATGTATTTATTTATTTATTTATAAAATGTGTATGCTGTCCATTACTTGTGTCTCTGGATGGCTTACAACATAAATCAGAATAAATAAATTTACTATTCCACACTGGCTGCAATTAAAAAATACAAACAATAAAATCCAATTACTATTAATGCATATTAAAATATTGATTAAATAAAAAGGTCTTGACCTGGCACCAAAAAACATAATGACGGCGCCAGGCGGACCTCTCTGAGGAGTGCATTCCAGAGTCGGGGCGCCACTGCAGAGAAGGCCCTCCTCCGGGTACTCACCCTCCTAATATCATTCACGGAGGGCTCCCGGAGGAGGGCCTCTGCCACCGATCTTAAGGGGCGGGAGGACATAAATGGACGCAAGCGTTCCTTTAGATAAGCAGGTCCCAAACCATTTAGGGCTTTATAGGTGATAACCAGCACCTTGAATTGGGCCCGGACTTCAATCAGGAGCCAGTGAAGCTGGTAGAGGACTGGGGTTATGCGAGAGTAACGCCTAGTCCCCGTCAGCAACCTGGCTGCTCTGTTTTGCACCATCTGAAGTATCCGGACCGTCTTCAAGGACAGCCCCACGTAGAGCGCGTTACAGTAGTCCAATCAGGAAGTAACCAATGCATGTGTCACTGTTGCCAGGCAGTCGTTCTCCAGGTAGGGACGCAGCTGATGGATCAGCCGAGGCTGGAGGAAAGCGCTCCTCGCCACCACTGTCTCTTGGGCTTCCAAGGACAGCTCCAGGTCAAGGAGCACTCCCAAGCTGTGGACCCTGTCCTTTAGAGGAAGTGCTACCCCGTCCAGAGCAAGGCCCAAGTCACCTACCCAGGAGCTCAAACCACCCACTAGCAGGACCTCCGTCTTGTCTGGATTGAGCTTCAGTTTGTTGGTCCTCATCCAGCCCATTACCTCGGCCAGACACCGGTTCAGTACAGCCACTGCCTCACCTGGATCAGTTGAGAAAGAGAGGTAGAGCTGGGTATCGTCAGCGTACTGATGATTCCGTAGCCCACACCTCCTGCTGACCTCTCCCAGCGGTTTCATTAGATGTTGAATAGCAAGGGGGACAAAATGGACCCCTGCGGAACTCCATGGCATAGCTGCCATGGCGCAGAGCCACAGTCCCCCAGCACCACCTTCTGGAATCGACCGTTGAGATAGGAGCGGAACCACTGCAAAGCAGTGCCTCCGACCCCCAATCCCGCTAGCCTATCCAGAAGGATACCATGGTCGATGGTATCAAAAGCCGCTGAGAGGTCCAGGAGGACCAACAGGGATGCACTCCCCCTGTCCCTCTCCCTGCACAGGTGACCAAGGCAGATTCATTACTGTAACTTTAACTGCAGGGTTGCGGTGTAGAAGATACCAACAACAAAGGCAGAGGGGCTGGTTTAGCAATGTACACAACAACCCTGTGAGGAAGGCCAATTTTGATCTATGGTGCAGCTTACTCTTCCCCAGGACTCTTTGCCATCAGCTGCTATATCAGGGCAGGCCACTTTGGTGGGGTTGGGGTCACTTCCCCGCACCGTCCTCCCCATCATCCTGCTCTTCCTCCCATTCACTTTGTTTTAAAGCCAAGCGACCGCGTCCACTGCTGCAGCACGCTGATCATCAGACTGCACCGGCGGCAGTGACAAGCGGGAATTGCCAAAAGGCAAGGAGGCATAATATTTAATGTTTTTATTGTATAATTTATATTTGTTTTTTTTCCTTGTCGTGAGCCGCCCAGAGGCTTTGTTGCGATGGGGGCGGCATAAAAATGTTGTGAATAAATAAGCAACACCCCACATTGTTTCCCCTTACCCGCTGCTCCCTCATCCTGGAATTGGTCCCTGCCCCCCCACACACAAAACCCCTGTCCCACCGCTGCGTCATGAGCTGGACTTCCCTTGAGGTGCACCTGCTACAAAGAATTAAAAAAAAAAAAAAACACCATGTGGCGCTTCGCTTGGTGGCCACCAGCCAAACCCAAGGATAGGCTGTGTGTAGGTTGGCTGGTGAGGTGGGGGCCAGCCGGCAATGAGAAGCCCCAGAGAGTGTTGGGGGAGCTCCCAGCACTCGAAGCAGAAGAAAACGGAGCAGGAACTTCTGCCCAACTGCAAGGGTGCACACCAGGTGCCCAAACCGGCCCCTGTGGGCTCTTTAATATGGCCCCCTAAGCTCGCCCCTGTTCACCCCTCTGGCTTCTCTTTTGTCCACGTCTGTGCAAAGACTTCCCATACCAAGAGGCGGAATTGCCATCCCTGATGGACAGGACTCAGTTGTACGCCTTGGTCTGCATTGCCTGTCCCCATACCATAAATGGGAGCACTATTTCATTCCCTAATGGACGGTTTTTCCTGTGGAATGCCACTTCCTGTTAATGTACAAGCTGATGGCACAATTAACTGAAAATATCAGAACATAATTTCAGGATGCTTGGTCACTCCATTCGTTTCATGCCAATCAACCGAGGAACACATAATGGGAAAAGCGAAAAGCAAGGTTGAGGGTGTCTTCCATGGGGTTTCACCCGTGTATTCTGTTAGGAGAAAAGAGTCAAAGAAATGGAAAGTTCCCATCTGTAAAAAATTTATAAAAATGGAACAAGGGAAGATTCCTACACAGTCTGTCCCACTTTACAAACATGAAGAGCTGTAAGAGCCAGGAAGAAATTTGGCTGCAGAGAATTTTGGAAGGGCCACAAGTCGTAACTCATGGAACATTATAAGCGGCTGTGTTTGTCCCTGCTTTAAATTTTTTCTGTCACTAGGGGTGAGTAGAGAGTTGGGCATCTTTTTTGTTAAAACTCCACATGTGACTGTAGATAAGGGTTGTGGAACGCAACCAACCTTCCCCCATCCGGGATGTACATTTGCCAAGGCTGGCAGGTTATTCAAGCAAAGATGTTGTTATTTAGACAAGTTTCGTCCTGCATTTATTTTGCAGGAATCCTCAGTGTGACATTTATTTCCCAATTGTAATTGACAGAATTTAATTGATTTGCATTTCTATTTTGATTGTTGCTTTGTATCTTATTTCTGCATCCCTGTTCTAGAATCTCTTTAGTTGTACAAAGAGACACTCAGGAATGGACATGAATGAAGTAGATTAAATAATAAACATGTTGGAAAGAGTGGGTGGAATGTTTTTCCTATCTTTCTCCTGTCTTGTAACAGTGAATTTTTTATCATCCCATGAAGCTGATTTGTAAAAAGAGAAGGAGAGAGTAAGAAAAGTGCATTTTTTTTCTTACAGTGTAAAATGAATATGTGGAACTTACTGCCACCAAATGCAACCAGAAAATGTTCAAAAAGGAATAATTCTTTCATGACAACTGCAGAAATCTTGCATGTTAAGAACAGAAAGATAAGCCGAATTTGGCCTTCAGATAATAACAAGGAGGGATTTAGCAAGCTGCAGCTTCCTGCTGTTGTACACAGGCGCACAATCATTAGTCTTTTCCTGCGTAGTATTTCAGCGGTAGGGCTGTCTCTCTCAGAAAGCAAGTCAGGAAACAAGTGAGCAAGAGTGTCTTTACGCCCAGCAGATGTGCAGACGGTTACGAGAGTCAAAATTTCAGCGCGTTCTCTCATCAAGTGCGTCGTGACCAGGCAACTTGAGAAAGGCAGTTCAAGGAGCCGTCTGGTGGATGGTTGGGAAGGGACGCCTCTTGAAGACCTCCAACCAGTTGCACATCACTGAGGACTAGAAGCTGCCTTCTGGTGGGGAACCATGTTTTCCAGAAAAAAGCGAGAACTAATAAAGACGCCCTCCATCTCCAAGAAGTGCAGAGGAGGGAGTCCAGTCCCCTCAAGCTCTTTGGTGAGTACTGGCATATCCTCTGCTTTTGCAAAGATGAGAAAGTGCCTTCCTGAAGCACCTATGCTGCTATAAGCAAGATCACGGTATAAGCGTGTCCTTTAACAGCCTCATTTTTACACATTGCTGGAGCTTCTAGTCGCATCTGATTGCTGGATAGCTTGCCCCTTCCCTCTAATTGGGGGAAACACGTGCCAAACAGGGTGCGACCAAGAAACCTTGGCATTTAATGCTGCCTTGTATTTATGGCCCAGTTTGTCCCTCTTGCAAGGCAATTGCACAAGCTTTGCTCAACCTGCATACCTTGTGCTGGGCTGCAATGCCCACCCTCCCCAACCAGGCTGGAGAAAGGTGGCGTGGCACATGGGTGTTCATGCAGATGCGCTAGGGGCATGAGGTTGGCTTCACTCACTCCTCCCAAAATCCTGGGGCAGAAACTCAACTGTTGCAGAATGACAAAGGACAAGAACTGAAAGTTTTCTCCCAAGAAGACATTGGGAAAGGGCCAAAAAGAAGCTTTGTACTTTCTATTTCCTCTCCTGCACTTGCTTCTGAGGCACGTCCAATCAGGCCACCACCGCACCAAATTTTCCCTAAAAAAAAGCAGAAACCCAACCAAGATGATCCGACAAGAAGCCTCTGTTTCAGACCAGTGTTTTTCAGTGAACCGAAAGTGTTCTGGGAGAAATTTCAGTTCTGGTGGTGGAACCCTGCAGAGTTTTGCTCTGCTTGCTCCAAAATCAACAGTTTCTGCGCCCTTCCGAGAGGGCGAGCAAAAGCTTTTGCATCAGAGAGCTCAGAAGCAGCGAAGGAGAAAAACAGCCTGGCTGAAATCAAACCGCCTTCCGTTCTCCACCACGTACCCTCTTGCTGTCGACCTCGCATCTCGGCGCGTGGGGCAGCGTGTGCTGCTGGGGAAAAGGAAGTAGCAGACGGCTGTCATGCGTGCTCAGTTTGTGACCGTCACACCATTCGCTGCCACACCTCCTGGCCTTCCAAACTTTTTCTTCTGTTTTGTGCACCCTGACCCGGGCAGCTAAACAAGGTTCCGTGTGCCTTGTATAATATTTTTTTAAATTGTCTTGGTGGTCTGACTTTCAAGGCACTTTACGTGGTCTTTCTCCCCTCTGTTTTATTCCCACAACAACAACCCTGTGAGGAAGACTAGACTGAGAGGGCATGACTGGCCCAAAGTCATGCCATGAGTCTTTTTGGCTGAGTGGGGACTTGACTGGACTCAGTTGCGGCTGAAGGAGGGTTTCTGCATCGGGGGCACTCCAATCCACAAGCCTGAGCATTGGGGAGAGGATGGGGGCATTAAGAGCTCCTGCGAATGAGACCAAAGGCTTATTTATTTAATCTAGCCTCTGCTTTTCCACAGCAGCTAGTCCTCAAGCATATTCTGCCTCTGAACCCACAGGAAATAGAACGCCGTCAGGTCTAGCAGCCCTTTATTTGAGGGTGGCATAGTTGCTTGAGGCAAATACACCCCTGTTGTGCCGTAGTGCCCAGCTAGTCTGCAGAGCCCATGCCAGCGGCACGGAGCATCCGCCGGTCAGCTTTGCCGAGCCGTTTCCTTTCCTTCATTGGCTGCTGCAGATTACCTGTGCATGTGCAGAAGTTCCGCTCTCATTTCCTCTGCTCACTGCAGGTGGCAGGTGGCATGTTCTACCAAATTCCCAAATGTGGGCCTGATCCTGTTCCCCCGGAGCGATCGGGACCCAGCTACTGGCATGCTAACTGAGTATCCACACGGATGCCGGCAGCTGATTGCTGTCCTGGTCTAGCCTCAAATTTGACGGATGTGAGTGCCCTTGCGTCTCTGAGCTACAGCGCTGAACTCTGAACCTGGTGAAGGTGTCCTTTCGTTTGCGCGCACGTCCCTCCATTCAGTTCCACGAGAACCTTGAGGTTCTGGTCTTATGAGATTAGTTAGCAAAGAAGTCTTCATATCCATTTTCTTACCACCATATAATTTTATTAAAGGCAGAAGGTGTACCTATTTAATCAGAACCTCACTGATTTTTGCTGCGGTGTATCCAGTGGAAATAGTCATTTGCTGATTAGTATTTAAGGGTTTGGAGGCAGTGATTGTCGGATCTAAATCCACGTTTTCCCCATGTGATGAAGGTTTCCTCAGCATTTCTTTTGTGTGGCATTAAAAATGACTTGCTGAGCTTTTATAAAGAACCAGCAACCATGCCTTACATCTGTATCAATACAGAAGAAGCTGTTTAGCACCATTTCTGTTCTAGGCTTGCCTAGACACTGTCTGTCCCAGAATGAATTTGATAGTCTTGTCCCAAGATAAACTTGTGTTTTTTGCAATGGACAAACGTATCTACCCTCAATAAATTGCTACAGTGGGTGCATTCACTTTGTCTTTTGACAAACCCACCACCGTAAGCCTGGCAATTGATTGTGTCACCGTGGGTGGTCGGTCCCCTCCATCTACAGGTATTGCAGGAACAAGAAATTTTAGAGAAACGAAAGCCTTGGCTTTCCACCCACTGACACAAGTGTTTTCTGACCCACTGCAGCTTTTTCCCCATTTAAAAATTCTGTGTGGGGAAGGGATGCTGTGTGAGCCAACTCAAGAGCCAGCTTTTGCCCTCCATGTTTGACAGCCCTTCAAAGTGCCCGGCAGCACCAAGGAGAAGCTGCTTGTACCTGCCCCTCATTCCAAAAAAGCCATGCAAAACATGCACAAAATCCCTTTGGGACTGATTCTGAAATGGTGCAAATAATTGTGTGCGTTGATATAATGCAGGTGCACAACCAGGATCTTTTGCAACAGAATGACCGTGGCAATTTGAGGACTCAGATGATTATGATTATGATGATTATGATTATGATTATGATTATTACATTTCTATGCCGCCCCTTGCTGAAGCCTCGGGGCGGCTTACAACACAATAAAATACATTGAAATACAATAGAACATAATAAATTACCACTAAATACAAAAATACAAAAAATATACTGAGATACAATAATATAAAATTAAAATTAACAGTATAAAATAAGTAAATAAAGAATATAGGAGGAGAAAAGAGAAGGAAGAAGAAGTTGCCCTGGCCAGATCATATATTTTAACAATTAAAATGATGTTTAAATAAAAAGGTCTTTACCTGGCGCCGAAAAACCAGTAACGACGGTGCCAGACAGATGGGACAAGGGTCAGGAGGGTGCCAAGAGCATCCATCCTGGGGCTCCGAATTCATCCCCCAGGTGTTGGCTGCCCCTCTTTGTTTGCCCCTAAAACTCAGCTCTCCGGGGAAAAATATACAGGATCTTTTGCTGATGAGACTGGGGGGGGGGGATTTTCACCCCCTTGGGCCACAAAAACTTCATCTTACCTATTTTAATGCCTGTTTACGTGCACAATTTGCGCTTTGGCCCAAGGCACTAGGATGTGTACTAGTACACCCATCTTTTTTTCAAGACTAGTTGTCAAAGCTCTGAGTTCTTTTCCAAAGTGGGGAGGGGGCTGAGAGGGTGACTGTGGACTAGGGCATAGGTCGAGGTTTGCCCTGGTCCAAAATGCCCAGTTCCCACTCAAAACTCCCGTTTTAAAGGGCCTTTCCCTTGAAAAAAGAGTGCATTTTTCTGAGCCCTAAGAGACTGGGGACACAGTGGAAATGTGACCCCCACACACCATGAACTAAAGGGAAGGAGAAAAACAAAGACAAGAGGATCTTGCTACAAGGGGGCAAAGATCCTCCCCCAAGCCCATTTTCACAGTAGAAGATCACACCAGCAGTTAAAAAATGTCTCCAAACTTCATGTCCAATTTTTTAAAAATGCGAGGCAGCCAAGAACAGCCCTCCAAGAAGCCAGGGGGGCAGTTTGAAGGGGCAGCTATGTGGGAATCATGAAACCAGTCTCCACGTGGACTCTTGATGACCAATCTCCCGTGTAATAGCTGTGTTAGAAGGCGTGGAACAGCCTCTTTTTATCTGAACTGTGTTCCGTTCCGCACCAGAATTGTACCTCTCAGTTTTACTAACTGTGGCTTCCACAGGAAGCAAGCTGTAGCAAAGTTGTCATTGTGCGGGGCAGCTAGAAGGCTCCTGTTCTGAATAAATGCTTAAACAATGACATGTTTCTTCCTCATGCTATGAAATGCAAATTAAATCTTTGAGTGTATATTTTAGGACTGGGGCAGAAAGGTAAGGCAAGGCAGAGTGCCACCCGCAATCCTGTATCTACTGCTGTAGTTATCCTAAATATAGTTACCCCTCTGGATGCTTTTGATTAATTGGGTGCTTAAGAATGTACAGTGAATTTTTCAGGAAAGCTCACTGAAGAACTTCCAGAGAGATTTTAATAAGGCACCCTGATGAATCAAGCAAGTTCCCCCTTAATTATGTATTTATGGGCAGCTGTCTTTGGTTGAGTCTCCCGGATGCACCAAAGTACGTGCCTCTTCCAAGAGGGTGCCTGTTAGAAAGCATGCATCTTCCAGGATAGTATATACAGGCTGGAATGCCTCATCTAAGATGGTGGACTCCAGGGAGAATGCCTCTTCCATGCTGCAGGTATGCATTAAAACATGAGTATTCTCCTGCAAAACTGCTCTTTTAAGTCACACACATCAATGCATCCCCGATCCATCTCTCCATTTGAAACAAAGCACAGGCAATCAAGCAACCAAGCTTGGGTTTTCAGTCTGGCCAGGAGCTCCACTTCACCAAGCTTTAAAAAGAGTGTCTCTTTGCCCCAGAAGAGGAAGCTGACAGTGTTTGTGGCTTTCTCTTCCCACCCTTTCAGTGCTGGGCGGTGACTTTTGGTGTCTCTGCCTTGTTTTGAGTCCTCTGACTTTGCAGGACTAAGCTCTTGAGAGCTGCCTTCAAGACTCCGGGCATTTTGTTGGCTTTTACAATATCGGTGTTGCCTCTTTGGGGGCAGCGTGAAGGCGTTGAGTGGACCCTTCTCCACGCTGTGGTGTCCTGAATATTCTGCGAGCACATGAGTGGTCGAAGCAACTACAGCCCGTATGG